CCGGGTTTTCAATCGGATACCGAGGCAAAATTTTTGCGTTAAAATGCATCGAATACCGGATTTATCGAATACTGATGCCATCGAATACTGGGGTCCACTGTAATACAGTGGACCCCCGGTTTGTGATGCTGTCGGTATCCGATAAATCCGGTAACCGATGCATTATATTGCCAAAAATTTGCCTCGGTTCCCGTTACAAAACCGGTATGCAATACGATTCGTACGAGAAGTGTCCACATGTGGCCTGAACTTCCCCGTGTGTACCAGTGTTTACAAACCAGCCAGTGTGTGTGCATCTAAGGATACATTCGGTACATTCCGTATTATCCATATTATCACTGTTTTTGGTGCTTGTTTCTGCAAAATAAGTCACAATGGGCCCCAAGAAAGCTTCTAGCACCAACCCTTCGAGACCAAGGGAGCTAATGACTATTGAAATGAAGAAAGAGATAATTGCAAAGTATGAAAGTGGAGTGCGTGTATCGGAGCTGGCCAGGTTGTATAGTAAACCCCAATCAACCATCTCTACTATAGTGAGCAGGAAAACGGCAATCAAGGAAGCTGTTCTTGCAAAAGGTGCAACTGTGATTACGAAACAGCGACCACAAGTGTTAGAAAATGTTGAGAGACTGTTATTGGTGTGGATAAATGAAAACAGATAGCACGAGATAGCATCTCTCAAGCGATCATTTGTGAAAAGGCTAGGCAGTTGCATGACGATTTGGTAAAGAAATTGCCTGCAACTAGTGGTGATGTGAGTGAATTTAAGGCCAGCAAAGGTTGGTTTGAAAGATTTAAGAATCGTAGTGGCATACATAGTGTGATTAGGCATGGTGAGGCTGCCAGTTTAGACCACAAAGCAGCTGAAAAATATGTGCATGAATTCAAGGAGTACATAGAGGCTGAAAGATTGAAACCTGAACAAGTGTTTAATTGTGACAAAACATGCCTGTTTTGGAAGAAATTGCCAATCAGGACCTACATTACTCAGGAGGAAAAGCTACCTCAAGTCTTAATGGAGGGGGATTCCCCTTCTAAACAATAGGTTCAACACATCCCCTCCTCCCATCCCATCAATCATCACCAGATCTTCATTAATGGTAAATGTTGGTTATTCTATTGTTATTGTAATTATTCTATTGCATTAAACTTAATATTTCATGTGGTAAAAGTTTTTTTGTTCATACTTTTGGGTGTCTTGCACGGTTTAATTTGATTTCCATTATTTCTTATGGGGAAAATTGATTCGCTTTCCGATAATTTTGGTTTACGATGAGCTCTCGGGAACGGATTAATATCGCGAACTGGGGGTCCACTGTACAGTGGTCCCTCAGTAATCGTCCGACTCGATAGTCGTCCTTTCTCGGAAATCGTCCCGTTATTTCGTCCAAACATTGGCTCGCAAATGGTCCATTGACTCGCTAATTGTCTTTCGTCCTGGACGCGTACTCACGCTCTGAGCTGCCTCGGCCTCCCTTCCCAGCCAGTGTGCCATTGTTTTCCAGTGAGCGACGGTCCCCTCACTTGTTCATACGAAATATTTCATAATATTCCATTCATTTTAGTGCTTGCAAGTACTAAATAAGCTTCCATGGCTCCAAAGAAAGTTCCTAGTGCCAAGCCTTTGGTAAAGAAAGTGAGAAATACAATTGAATTTAAGAAAAACATCATTGAACAATATGAAAGTGGCGTATGTGTAGGCGAACTGGCCAGGATGTATAACAAATCCCGTACAACCATATCTTCCATCGTGGCCTAGAAAAAGGAAATCAAGGAAGCTGTTGTTGCAAAAATGCTGACAAAAATGAGATCACCAGTACTCAAAGATGTTGAGAAGTTATTATTGGTGTGAATAAACGAGAAACAATTAGCAGGAGATAGTCTTAAGACGTCGATTATTTGTGAAAAGGCTAGGCAGTTGCATAACGATTTGGTAAAGAAATTGCCTGCAGCTAATGGTGATGTGAGCGAATGTAAGGCCAGCAAAGGCTGGTTTGAGAGATTTAAGAAGCGTACTGGCATACACAGTGTGATAAGGCATGGTGAGGCTGCCAGTTCGGACCAAAAAGCGGCTGAAAAAATATGTGCATGAATTCAAGGAGTACATAGAGGCTGAAGGACTGAAACCTGAACAAGTGTTCAATTGTGACGAAACAGGCCTCTTTTGGAAGAAAATGCCAAAGAGGACCTACATTACTCGGGAGGAAGAGGCACTACCTGGACACAAGCCTATGAAAGACAGGCTGACGCTCATGTTCTGTGCTAATGCTAGTGGGGATTTCAAAGTGAAGCCGTTACTAGTGTACCATTCTGAAAATCCCAGAGTGTTCAAGAAAAACAATGTTATGAAGAGTAAATTGTGTGTGTTTTGGAGATCTAATAATAAGGCATGGGTCACGAGGGAAATTTTCTTCGAGTGGTTTGGCTGTAGTGTGAAGAATTACCTCCTGGAAAAGAAATTGGATCTCAAGTGCCTCCTAGTAATGGACAATGCACCTGTTCATCCTCCAAACTTGGATGACCTAATTCTAAAGGAGTTTGGGTTAATCACAGTAAAGCTCTTGCCCCTGTATACCACTCCTCTCCAGCCCATGGACCAGCAGGTCATTTCAAACTTTAAAATACTCTACACCAAAGCAATGTTTGAAAGGTGCTTTAATGTGACCTCACACACTTGACCCTAAGAGATTTTTGGAAAGGACACTTCAGTATTCTCCATTGCATAAGCCTTATAGGTAAGGCTTGGGAGGGAGTGACTACCAGGACTTTGAACTCTGCTTGGAGAAACTTGTGGCCAGATTGTGTCCACAAGAGGGATTTTGAAGGATTTGAGGTGGCCCCTGTTGAGCCTATTGTGGCATTGGGGAGTTCCATGGGGTTGGATGTGAGTTTGGAGAATGTGGAAGAGTTGGTGAAGGACCACAACAAAGAGCTAACCACTGAGGAGCTGCAAGAGCTTCAGCAGGAACAGCAACAGATCGCAGCTCAGATTCTTGCTGCAGAGGAGGAGGAAGAGAGATGGAAGAAGGTGCCTTCTTATAATTAAGGAGATTTTTGAAATGTGGGGTAGGATGGAAAGATTTATGGAGAAACATCACCCTGAGAAGGATGTTGCAAGCCATATCGGCAACTTGTACAGTGACAGAGTCTTGGCCCATTTTAGGGAAGTTTTAAAGAGATGCCAGAAACAGAACTCTCTGGACAGTTTTTTTTGTGAGACAGGACTCGAGTGACTCTCAAGCTGGTCCTAGTGGCATTAAGAAACAGAGAAGAGAAGCAACCCCAGAAAAGCACTTGGTACCTGAGGTGTTGATGGAAGGGGATTCCCCTTCCAAATAGTAATTCAATCTCTCTCCTCCACCAGTCTTCCATACACTAAAAAGAATCGCCAATAAAGGTAAGTGTTATGCTGTTAATGTTTCATTCATCATGTCTCATTGTATTGTTTATGTACTACATCTATATTTCATGTAAAAATTTTTTTTGTTTTAATACTTCTGGGTGTCAGGAATGGATTAATTGTATTTACATTATTTCTTATGGAGGAAAATTGATTCGAAAATCGTCTATTTCGATAATAGTCCCACTTCCAGGAACGGATTAAGGATGATAAACAAGGGACCACTGTAATAATAATTGTAATACGTACATATGTACTACTACTACTACTACTACTACTAATAATAATAATAATGTCATTTTTAGACATTTTTCGTAATTTTTTTTCATATTTTTGTGCCAAATGCTTCAAAATACAAATTGGTAACTCTCTGGGTGGCTGTAGGTACAGCTGCTACACTAGAACAAGGGTCAAAAGGAAGAGGAGGTGCGCTGCTCTGAGTGACTGCAGCAGACCCTTGGGATGCATAATTTTGTCTTGTACAAATTTCCTAAGTAATGCCACACCTGAAGAGACACTATTCGTGTATGATCAGCAAGAAGCTCAGGAAGCGATTAGAAAGTGAAGAAAGCTAGAGAAACGAAGAAGGTAGCAGCAGAGAGTGAGGCAGCTCACCACCACTACCACTGTGGCTGCCACTGTGGTTACATGTGTAACAACCTCACCACTAATCATAGATAAACACAAGCTAGGTGTGGGGTTATGGACTGGGAAGATACTAGAGTGGGAGAGTAAACGGCAAATGCTGTAGGGTGCTGCTGGCGTAGTCATCACTTGCCATATTATGGTCTATTTTATTCATTCTAAAGTATATACACCTACCATCCGACTTACGACCTGCTCGACTTACGACCACTCGACTTACGACCATGTTTTTTATGCCAAATTTCTGGGAAATAAACAACTATTTGTGTTGTACACAGTGTTTATCGTACACCTTACAGTATAAAATACAGTACTAACTGCATAAAAAGTAAAGTAAAACATGAAATACCAAAATAAAACAATAAAATAGTCATTACAGAAATGTTTTGTTGACATTCAGTAGTAAAGTTCGACTTACGACCGGTTTCTCGGAACCGAACTCAATCGTAAGTCGGATGGTAGGTGTATCATGTTTCTGTGTTATTAATATTGTTTATTATGTCATATTAGATGAATTGTGATAGATAAATAAGCCGTAGAGTTGATATTAGCATTATTTTGTCATGCCTCCTGAGAGGCTGGAATGGATTAATTGCATTTCAATTAATTTAAATTGGGAAACAAATCAGGATACGAACAAGATCACGGAACGGATTGTGTTTGTAAGCTGAGGTTCCACTGTGTAGTCATTTTCCTTTCAGTCAGAATCATTCATTCATTGTAATATAAGATAAATTGATAAATAAAAACCTGTATATGTTGTGTATGAACTTATGAGGAGGGTGAATATGAAAGTGTAAGAAAAGTATTTTGTATAAATTTAATGTGTTAATTATTGAATATAGACAGTTGGATGTTAGTCATATTGATAATAAAGAGCTTTAGTGTATCTGAGTTCTGAAAACTGGAAGGTGATAGATACCCCAAGTATTTCTACCTTCTTTTTCTTTCACAGAAACTAGAGGAGATGGAAACCTGGCGGGAAATGTGGATTCGCTGTTATGAGGAAAGAGAACGAAAGCTGAAGAATTTAACACAAAATCTTCAGCAGAAATTTGTATCAAAGGCTGAACCAAAGCGAACAACTAAACTGGCATTTGTTGATACTGCTGTCAAAGTACCAAAAAGTGTTGCTCGTGCCCAGGTATTGTGATTCTAGCTTTTAATATAAAATAATCATAATCATTTATTTTCCAATTGTAGCACAAAGATTTCTTACATGGGAAAGCCCATAGTTATGCAAAGCATTTAGGATGAACTTAAAACTAGGAATAATACTAATGAAATGTAAAATTATTGTGTGCGTGTGTGTGTGCATATGTGCGTGAGAGAAAATATAAAACACACATGATGGTGTAAATTAGTACTAACAACACGATTATCATAGTATGATGATAATTACAGTACATATGAATTGAAACATGAAAAATAACACGTAATACAAAAAGTGTACAGTAGGGTTAAAATTGAAAGAATTAGAGGCAAGACAGAACGTAGGATTGCAGATGAGCAAGGAGGTTTTAGAATGGGTAGGGGATGTGTAGATCAAGTGTTTACATTGAAGTATATATGTGAACAGTATTTAGATAAAGGTAGGGAAGTTTTTATTGCATTTATGGATTTAGAAAAGGTATATGATAGTGGATAGGGGAGCAATGTGGCAGATGTTGCAAGTATATGGAATAGGTGGTAAGTTACTAAATGCTGTGAAGAGTTTTTATGAGGATAGCGAGGCTCAGGTTAGGATTTAGATTTTGCCACCGAAGTGGCTAGTTTATTGTGCACCCCATATCCATCCTGTGGACGGTAGCGCGAGAGCATATGGATACACAAAAGGCCTGGGAACTAGGCCCCAAAGGGTTAACAGGAATACATATGGATTTATATCTACATATCTATAGTTCACTTATCTGTTACAAGCAAATTTAGGAAATTTGCTTAGTATATCTGGTATCTTATTTTCATTAATAAGATATCTTGACATGTCACATAGGTTATTATACTGTCTGTCTCTGTATTCCTCAATAAGTGGACAATTAAGCACATAGTGTTCAGAGAATGACCATATGCCTGATCACATAATTTACATTTAGTTTGATCATCATCTGTGTGTCTCCCAAACTGCCAGAAGTACTTATAACCAAGCCTAAGCCTGGCCACTACAAACATCAGTCAGTCTGTTCACATTGCAAGTTGCTCCATAAACATACTTATCTACGTTCATGTTATCATAGTGGGTTATAGATCTACTCAGGCTTCTAACTGCATTCCTATAACAATCATTTTCATTATTTACCTCTCTCCTAATATTATTCCTAATGCTAGACACAGTTATACCAAAGTTATATTCTACATTCTCCTTCTCGATACTCTTCTTGGCTAACATATCAACTTTATCATGAAGGAGTAATGGATCCCATCTCAGGTTAGGGTGTGTAGAAGAGAGGGAGAATACTTCCCGGTAAAAGCAGGTCTTAGACAGGGATGTGTAATGTCACCATGGTTGTTTAATATATTTATAGATGGGGTTGTAAAAGAAGTAAATGCTAGGGTGATCGGGAGAGGGGTGGGATTAAATTATGGGGAATCAAATTCAAAATGGGAATTGACACAGTTACTTTTTGCTGATGATATTGTGCTTATGGGAGATTCTAAAGAAAAATTGCAAAGGTTAGTGGATGAGTTTGAGAATGTGTGTAAAGGTAGAAAGTTGAAAGTGAACATAGAAAAGAGTAAGGTGATGAGGGTATCAAATGATTTAGATAAAGAAAAATTGGATATCAAATTGGGGAGGAGGAGTATGGAAGAAGTGAATGTTTTCAGATACTTGGGAGTTGACGTGTCGGCGGATGGATTTATGAAGGATGAGGTTAATCATAGAATTGATGAGGGAAAAAAGGTGAGTGGTGCGTTGAGGTATATGTGGAGTCAAAAAACATTATCTATGGAGGCAAAGAAGGGAATGTATGGAAGTATAGTAGTACCAACACTCTTATATGGATGTGAAGCTTGGGTGGTAAATGCAGCAGCAAGGAGACGGTTGGAGGCAGTGGAGATGTCCTGTCTAAGGGCAATGTGTGGTGTAAATATTATGCAGAAAATTCGGAGTGTGGAAATAATTAGGAGAAGGTGTGGATTTAAAATAAAAGCATTAGTCAGAGGGCAGAAGAGGGGTTGTTGAGGTGGTTTGGTCATTTAGAGAGAATGGATCAAAGTAGAATGACATGGAAAGCATATAAATCTGTAGGGGAAGGAAAGAGGGGTAGGGGTCGTCCTCGAAAGGGTTGGAAAGGGGGGTAAAGGAGGTTTTGTGGGCGAGGGGCTTGGACTTCCAGCAAGCGTGCATGAGCGTGTTAGATAGGAGTGAATGGAGACGAATGATACTTGGGACCTGACGATCTGTTGGAGTGTGAGCAGGGTAATATTTAGTGAAGGGATTCAGGGAAACCGGTTATTTTCATATAGTCGGACTTGAGTCCTGGAAATGGGAAGTACAATGCTGCACTTTAAAGGAGTGGTTTGGGATATTGGCAGTTTGGAGGGATATGTTGTGTATCTCTATACGTATATGCTTCTAAACTGTTGTATTCTGGGCACAAGTTGGTCGTCTCCCACCGAGGCAGGGTGACCCAAAAAAGAAAGAAAATCCCCAATAAGAAAATACTTTCATCATCATTCAACACTTTCACCACACTCACACATTATCACTGCTTTTGCAGAGGTGCCCAGAATACAACAGTTTAGAAGCATATACGTATAGAGATACACAACATATCCCTCCAAACTGGCAATATACCCAAACCACTCCTTTAAAGTGCAGGCATTGTACTTCCCATTTCCAGGACTCAAGTCCGACTATATGAAAATAACCGGTTTCCCTGAATCCCTTCACTAAATATTACCCTGCTCACACTCCAACAGATCGTCAGGTCCCAAGTATCATTCGTCTCCATTCACTCCTATCTAACACGCTCATGCACGCTTGCTGGAAGTCCAAGCCCCTCGCCCACAAAACCTCCTTTACCCCCTCTTTCCAACCCTTTCGAGGACGACCCCTACCCCTCTTTCCTTCCCCTATAGATTTATATGCTTTCCATGTCATTCTACTTTGATCCATTCTCTCTAAATGACCCAACCACCTCAACAACCCTCTTCTGCCCTCTGACTAATGCTTTTATTAACTCCACACCTTCTCCTAATTTCCACACTCCGAATTTTCTGCATAATATTTACACCACACATTGCCCTTAGACAGGACATCTCCACTGCCTCCAAGCGTCTCCTCGCTGCTGCATTTACCACCCAAGCTTCACACCCATATAAGAGTGTTGGTACTACTATACTTTCATACATTCCCTTCTTTGCCTCCATAGATAACGTTTTTTGACTCCACATATACCTCAACGCACCACTCACCTTTTTTCCCTCATCAATTCTATGATTAACCTCATCCTTCATAAATCCATCCGCCGACACGTCAACTCCCAAGTATCTGAAAAACATTCACTCTTCCATACTCCTCCTCCCCAATTTGATATCCAATTTTTCTTTATCTAAATCATTTGATACCCTCATCACCTTACTCTTTTCTATGTTCACTTTCAACTTTCTACCTTACACACTTTCCCAAATCATCCATTTAACCTTTGCAATTTTTCTTTAGAATCTCCCATAAGCACAGTATCATCAGCAAAAAGTAACTGTGCAATTCCATTTTGAATTTGATTCCCCAAATTAATCCCCCCCCTCTCCCGAACACCCTACATTTACTTTTTTACAACCCATCTATAAATTTTAAAAAACCATGGTGAATGACACACCCCTGTCTAAGACCTACTTTTACCGGGAAGTATTTCCCCCCTTTTCTACCACCCAAACCCTGACCCTCATTTTCCCTCATAAAAGCCTTTACAGCATTTAGTAACTTATCCCCTATTCCATTTATTTGAACTCTGCCACATTGCTCTCTATCCACTTATCTATGTTTTTTCTAAACCCCAAAAAATGCAATAAAAACTTCCCTACCTTTATCAAAATACGTTCAATATATGCTTCAATGAAACACTTGATCTACACATCCCCTACCCCCTCTGAAGCCTCCCGTCACTGCAATCCCACATTCTTCTTCCTCTAATTCTTTCAAAATTTTAACCCCCACCCTTACTTTTCCTGGTATACTCAGTAAAAAATTTTTTCCCCTAAATTTTAAAATGATTTTGTTTAAAATTGCAGGGGGAAACTTAATAGGAAGAAGTTAACAAAATAGCAAATAAGCAGTTTATTAAAAGTCACAGGTTTTTGGGTTTTTTTGGGAGTTCATTCAGGTTTTATTTTTTGTAGTAACTTTTCATGTTGTGTGCAGTTGGGGAAAATCAATGGAAAATTTGCTTTTAGTTTTATGCCCCGGATTTTGTTGCGCTTTTAGGAAGAATTAATTTTTTGTTATTGGACTTACTGTCCTAAAAATTAGTTGTAAATACTTGAAGTTTGGTAAATTTAAAACTTTTAAAAGCAGTGATGTGGTTTGTGTAAACCAGTATTTGATCCCCCTTTTGGTTGCTACGAGCCTAATCAGGGGGTAGTTTTTTTGGGTTAAAATTTACAGAAAAAAAAGGTTGAAAGAATAAGTTACCTGGATTTAACAGTTATGGGAGGTGAATTATTGTTTGTGTGAGGAAAGAAAGTTGCATTGGTCTTTGTCATTAGTGAAACTTATTTTCATGTTATTCATTTGTGCATAGAAAATGATGAAGTTTAGATGCATAGTGAACTGAAAGATGTGAAAAGTGAAGAATTGAAAAATGGGATACAGGTGATGCTGATAAGCAATTACATGTTCAAATAATTTTTTATTAATAATGTATCCTAGGTAGTAGGTTGGTAGACAGCAGGACTGTAGTACCCCCTTGGGCGCTTTCTAAGTGAGTGTAATATGAAAGCCTGTAATTGTTTTACATGATGGTAGGATTGCTGGTGTTTTTTTTTTTTCTGTCTCATACACATGCAAGATTACAGGTATGTCTTGCTACTTCTACTTACACTTAGGTCACACTACACATACATGTACAAGTATATACTATATACATACCCCTCTGGGTTTTCTTCTATTTTCTTTCCAGTTCTTGTTCTTGTTTATTTCCTCTT